ATTCATGACTCGGCTAGTAGTCCTGATCGTTCCTCTTCCATCTGCCTCTCACTCGCCCATCTTCTCCCTCATCTCTCTTGTTCGCCTCCTCCTCTACGGTTTCCTCTTTCCTCTTACTCCAGGATCGGATCGAGGCTGCACAAGGTCATTTCTGACACCGGTCCCCGTGAACCCTTTGCAGGGCACCGGCTCAATGCTCGAATCGATGTCAGATGTCAAATAATGTCTTCGGCCCTCCGATCGCTCTTTCAATCTGTGTCGTCGTTAAAGTACAAGGGCGCCCGGATACCTCAGGTCGACCCTGTCTCTTTCTTATCTATCTACCTAACCGTCCTTTCCAGTCCTCTCCTCCTTATCTTTTTCTCTCTTGCTCTCTCACTCCCCCCCCCCCCTCCTTATCTTTTTCTTTCTTGCTCCCCCCTCCCTCTCCCTCCGGTCATCTCTCCCTTCTTACCTCTCGTATTTGTCTCTTCTTACGTTCTCCGAGTCCTGTACGGCGGTTCGTTTCGCCGAGGCGGACATTCATAACGGCTTCGCAGTCGTCCGATGACGTGGCATTCCTCGTTACTTAAATAACGCGCCGAGACCCCCTTTCGCGAACAAGTCGCGAAGTCGCACATAAAGCGGAAGTTCGTTAAAGACGGGGGGAGGAGGAGGGAACCATCCCGCTTTGGAAAAAGATTAGAACTCGCGGCTTGTTATGAGAGAGCCGTTATTTCGTTCTTCGCTAACGCGCGTCCCAATCATAAGAGAGTAACACGTCGATATCCGATAGAATACCGCCGTAATAATTATGAATGAATGCACCTTGAAATTTGTGCGTCGCGACTGCTTTCGGCCGTTTCGAATAAATCACGTCGGTAGACGAAAAGCGCAGAGGTTACTCGCGTCGGAGGAATATCGCATTGCAATTAACTTTGCTGGGACACCTTCGCGAAGATAATTCGACGCGATTTTGCGCTTCTTAAAACGTTTAATTGTTCAAGGAACCTTTCGAGAGGGAGGAAGGGAGTACGAAAGTCCGCTTAATGAGATTCGTTCTTAATACAAACACGCGAAACGCGCTACAACCGGCGCCCGGGACGAGTTCTCAGAGCAAGTCGGCGGCTTCGTTCAGGAATCGCGGTCCGGAGAAGCAATAACGACACTACCGGGAACGGTAGTTGTAAGGACAACTCAACCCTCTCCCGTCCTCAACCCTTACGGCCCTATCCTTGGCCTAATCCGCTCGAAGGCTTCGACAAGTCAAGCATCGGTCGAGAATGACGTGCTCGCGCGGACCGCAATCTTACCGCTCTCGCGCACTGACATTTCTTCCCACACAGGAAGGGACTCCTGTAGCTTCGTATTCGGGATAACTCCGGCGTACCGCGTCTGCGTCTGATGGTGTGGATTCTTTGATCAGTTCGGAATCGATGTTACCACAGTGGGGGTTTCAAGGGAACTTCAAGGCCGTCGTTTTCGCACGACTTTCCGATCTTTATCGTTACGCGATGCCGTGGCTGAGATTCGGGTTGAAATTTCGTCAAAGTCTCACGTGGATGAGTCTTTTAATTGAAAAGCACGGTTTTGCCGTCTAATATTTTGTCGTTTAATGTTTTCGTGCAGACTTAAAATTGATTCGCGAGACGTTTCTTCAATCGTCGGCCACCGACGAGCTATCAGTGTTTCAGCATTTTCGTTGAGGAAATATCGGTTCCAAATTAGACGGGGGATTCGCCACTAAGAATCGGTGAGGCGGCAGCAGTGGCGGAACAGCCTGTGTAAGCGTGGTCGTTCTTCTGCCTTTTTTCCGTCTCGCTCGAACATCTTCGCTATTTTTTCTTTCTTTCTCTCTCTCTCTCTCTCTCTCTCTCTTTTGTAAGCTTCATCAGCCTCCTTTCCGGTCACGCTTTTAGCGTCGCTCTAGCTCTCCTTGTCCCCTCCTTTCTCTCTCTTTCTTGCTCGCTACTCATAGTGGTCCTGGGCTGCTTTTGGCGAGGCTAGTGGCGAGAGCACCATATGGGGCCGGTCTCATGCACTCGCGCATAGCAACAGAAACGAGAGAGAGAGAGAGAGATAGAGAAAGGCGCTCATGTGCGAAGAAGGTTGGCGCGAGAGAGTAGAAGAATGTGAGAGCGAAGGTGAAAGAGGAAGAAAGAAACAGTTTATAACTCAAAGAAAAATCCCTTCCGGACTCGTGTTTACGGAAACTTTTCCTTTCGTTTCTGAATCCTTAGCATGATATCAGGTTTATATAGATAACTTTTCAGCAGCCTGTAAGCATTCATCTCTCTCTCTCTCTCTCTCTCTCCTCCTCATTCTTCTCCCTCTTCCTCCTGCTTCGGTGTCGCTATGCCACTACGATAGTCGGCTATAGTGCGCCATAGTCAAGTTGAGTGAAGAGCGTGAAGAAAGAGAGGGAGCGGGCGGACAAGAGTTTCAGCTGGCGGGGGTGGGCACCACCACCCGGTGGCAACCAGCCGTTCTGGCGATGTTGCTCGTGACGGTGAGGGAGAAAGAGAAAGAGAGAGACCGGACAATAAAATCGCGGAGCCTGCGATGAATTCGCGTCGCCCATACCGGTTTCCTCTGCTCGCCCACGCGGCCGAAACGAATCGAACGACGCTTGGACCTCGATCGGAGGTGTTTTCATTCGGGGCCACCGTGTGGACGGATTCGGAGTCTGTGTGCCTATCATCGTAGGCGCAGACGATGCCGAGAGAAAGAAAGAAAGAGAATATAAGGAACATATATCAGTGTCTTCGATTCGCAAATTCGATTCGTCGGAGCGGACGCACGAGCGAGAGCGCCTTGTTCTCTTAATGACTTCTGATTTCTCTTTTCTCCTCTTCTCTCCTCCTCCCCGGCCTTCTCTTTCTCTCGCCTCGCACGTTGGTGTTCGCGGAAGCGGTCGAGAAAGAAATTAATACACAAGAGCCGGACGGTGCACGCGCGCACGGCGGCGCCATAAAGCGAAAAAGCGACGGTCGCTCGCGTGATCTTCGTATTATCGCCAGCAATAAATCCCCACGTCCGGGCTATTTCCCAACGGCGGTACCGAAAAAGTTCCCCGTCCAGAATCGCGTCGTGAGATCGGCCGATAGAAGTTCGCGCGTTACGCGCGTGCGAATTAAATTTCCGACTAACCTATATACGACACTGCGAAATAAGGTCACGCCGGTGTTCTATATCTCTCCTTAGAAGAATCGTGCCTGCGACTAGCCGTGAAGTTTAAACCGCGTTTCACGGCTGCCTTTATAAACATACGAAAGTTTCGTTCGCGCGAGAACCGTCCGTCCGCCCTGGCTCTTCTCTCCGCGTGAGAGACGGAGGGTGCCTTTGTGCGCGCGGATTCCGATATTATCCTCGTCCCGTCCGAGAAGGACCGTCGCAAAATTCAAAAGACGGAGGAACGCGATTTGCTCGGGAACGCAAGTGGATCTCGCAAGCGGGGTTAAACTATTCGCACGCGACTCTCTCTCTCTCTCTCTCTCCCTCTTGCTCTACGCCGGATTTATAGCGCACCGCGGATATCTATTCGCTCGCCTCGTTCCTTCCTTTTTGTAAATCGAGCCAAAGTCAAAAATAAGCGCAGAGCAGCAGCCACACGGCGGGTTCGCTTCCGGGACCGCGACGCGGCCCCTCTGTCCTCACGGCGACGACGGCGGCAGCGGCGGCACCGCGAAAGAGTCGGGAGTTCATTAGCCGGCCGCGCGCGCGGCCGGGTACACTCCTCGTACTCCTTCGACGTACAATCGATGCCGAAATAGAGTAACTAGACGCCGATACAGCGCTGACCATCGCCGTGTCGATGACCCGGTGGAGGCGTGCCAACCGAACAACCACCGCGTCCTACCCGATCCGCGGCTTCTCTCCTCCCGCTACCCTCGCCACCGCCGCCAACGTTGCTGCTGCTGCCCCTTTCCCTTTCCTCACGTTCTGGAAAAATTCCGCACGGCCAACCGAGCGAAAATCCAGCAACGGCCGCTCGACGCAGTAGTCGGCGTCGCCGATTTTCGTACTTCGCACGACGGGCGCGCGAGACGAGAAGTACTCGTTACGAACGGCGGCGTGGTTTTCACGTGGTCGCATATCGATTCCTGGACGAGGCGGTAGATCGGATTCTGCGCCCTTTTCCCTTTTGCTCCCCCTGCCTGCCCTCCCGCCCGTGTCCACCCTTCTACCGCCGCCGTTGCTCCTTCCACCTACCTACCTTCCGCGCCTCGTAGACGGGATATTTACGGCGAATTATACGATGCTTTTTAGGACGGATAATCGCGGCGGCGGCGTTTCGACCAGCGCGCGTTTCTCAGACGAACGCGAACTCTCGCGGTAATGCGACTTCGCCGCGAGAGGTATGAGCGGATCGATCGTTCTCTCTCTCTCTCTCTCGTATTTTCTTTTTCTCTCTCACTCCCCTCATCTCGCGCGAAACGTCATGGACCTCTGCATCGTACCTGCGCAAATATAGTGGGTCGCGTAGTTCGTTATGCAACTCATTACTCGGCGACCTCACGAGGCCAGTCGATTGATACGGATGAGCCGACTGCGAAGGGTCTCAGGGCCAATCGGTTGCATTGACGAAAAATTATCTTCTCTTATTATTCCCTTTAATCACACGATTTCGACGAGGGCTTCTGACTTTATTAATACACATCGCGCAATAACTAATAAATATTACAACGTTCTAATAATAATAAGTGGTGTGAGACACTGTCGTGTAGCACGTCGTCGAAAAGTGACGGGGTGAAAATAACGAATGTAGACAGATGTCGCATCGGGGGGAGGGGTGTAATTCGATAATTATCGCATGAAACTAACGGTCCGTGGTTATACGTGTTGAAAGAAGTAAAAAAAATGTGTAGAACTACCCTCACGCACAACTGTCTCGTTAATTGAGCGATCGCGGCTATCGAACGGCTTTGCATTTAGCGTGTAATCCCGATGAGATCTCGCGATACTCCGGCGATATATCGGCGAGCTCGCTCATAATTATGTTAATTTTTTTTTCCTTCCAGGTTTATTATGCGAAGAAGAAACGGAGAGCTCAGCAGATGCAAGGGGAAGATGGCTCGCATAAAAAAGAGAGGAAACTCTACAACGACGGCTGGGATGACGATAATCACGATTATATCATCAAGAATGGGGAAAAGTTCCTCGATCGATACGAGATCGATTCGTTAATAGGTGAGACACGAGAGCAAATATTGTCGGTGTAATTTACCGGAACTGCAGCACCGCTGTAATTTTCAATCAGTCATCTTCGCTTTCTTAAAAAAACGAAAAATGACACCTTTCGGTAATTTTTTAACGACTCCATGGCTCGGTGGTATCAGGGACTTTTCACTGAGAAGAAGACACTGGAATATCACGTTTTATCCCGGCAATTCGCCCGCTCGTCCTTTATTCAGCGCGCGCTCATTCGTCTTTTCCACTTGCAGGTAAAGGCAGTTTCGGCCAAGTAGTAAAAGCGTTCGACCACGAGGAGCAAACGCAAGTGGCAATAAAAATCATCAAGAACAAGAAGCCTTTTCTAAATCAAGCGCAAATCGAAGTTAGGCTATTGGAAATGATGAACAGAGCGGATACCGACAACAAGTATTATATAGGTACGCAGAACGCGAGAGGCGCGCGACGAGGGCGTGTGACGACTAACGACTCCCGTTTCCTCTGATTGTTGCAGTTAAACTGAAGAGGCATTTTATGTGGCGGAATCACTTATGTCTGGTATTCGAGCTGCTATCGTATAATCTATATGACCTACTTAGAAATACGAATTTCCGAGGAGTGTCATTGAACTTGACGAGAAAGTTTGCACAGCAACTGTGTACTGCCCTCTTGTTCCTGTCTACGCCGGAATTGAACATCATTCACTGTGATCTGAAACCCGAAAACATCCTTTTGTGCAATCCCAAACGAAGTGCGATAAAGATAGTCGACTTCGGTAGTTCGTGTCAACTTGGACAAAGAGTAGGTATCACGGAAGATATCGGCCGGCATGGTCGCTCCTGCTCGCCGCCCTTGCCACCGTTTCACTCGCCGTTTCTTTTTCTCCTTGGCTGCTTGCAGATATACCAGTATATTCAGTCCAGGTTCTACAGATCTCCGGAAGTCCTATTAGGAATACCTTATGACCTCGCGATAGACATGTGGAGTCTGGGATGTATTTTAGTAGAAATGCACACGGGGGAACCTCTGTTTAGTGGGGCCAACGAGGTAAGGTCAACGACGGGTCGTTGTGATCGACGAGTCGTTTTTGAAAAACTCGCGCCCCGCGTAGCTCTCGATAATCATTAATAGCACGAGACGCTACCGTTATGGCCGTGCTCGTTCGCTGCGGCGAATGACTCGTTCGTGTACGCGTGTCTCCTCTCTCTCTCTCTCTCTCTCGTCTTGTGCTCGATGTGTGACATAATCTATCTCTACTTCGTCTTACAGGTCGATCAAATGAACAAAATCGTAGAAGTACTAGGAATGCCGCCGAAACATATACTGGACCAAGCGCACAAGGCGCGGAAGTACTTTGACAAAGTCCCCACGGATGGCTCGTACGTGCTGAAAAAGTCCAAGGACGGTAAAAAATACAAACCTCCCGGCACGAGGCGCTTGCACGAAATTCTAGGTGTCGAGGGCGGCGGTCCGGGCGGTAGGAGGATAGGGGAACCGGGTCACTCGATTTCCGATTATCTCAAGTTTAAGGACCTAATAATACGGATGTTGGATTTCGACCCGAAGACGAGGGTGACGCCGTATTACGCGCTTCAGCACAACTTCTTTAAAAGGACAGCCGATGAGGGGACCAACACGAATATCGCTGCTGCTAATAGTGCGAGCACGAGTCCGGCAGTGGTGTCGATGAGCCAGGATCACGGTAAGACTTTAACTGTTGCCCGCCGCCACCCGATCTCGGCGAGATATTGTTGTAACATATAGGGGAGAGAAGTACGATACGCATTTATATGCTTCACATCTGGGTTCCTCCGAAACTGGCAGGTTTTCAACGGTTTTAACGAGCCGTCTCACTGTTCGTAATTCGCGGCACATTTAACGCGTGTGTGTGTGTGTGTGTGTGTGTGTGTGTGTGTGTGTGTGTGTGTGTGTGTGTGTGTGGATGCGAGTGTGTATTGCGCGCGCGCGTGTGTGTGTGTGTATGTGCTGCGACTATCTCGCGACTGTCTCTTGATTTTCGTTTAATAAACACCGGCTTCCACCGGTGTTGAAAGTTGAAAACGTGTCAGGTTTTGCATTATGTCACGATATAAGTGTACTTTTTAAACGATTAATCGCAGCGAGAGACATGATCTTACGAAAATATGGCTCTATGTCGCTTGATCTCATTCATCATTTATCATTATATATTGATATATCATACTTGATTATTGTCACATCATCACTTGGCGATTTAATCTATATAGTCTCTTGTAAGCTCATCTTTTCAGCTGAACTAGGTACCGCTGTAGAAAGAGAATTCACTACATTCACCGTCACCACTTATACATAGATAGTATTGTATAAATGTAACAACAAAGAGACAGGTGTTAACACTCTGCAGTGTCACGTGTTCTATTCAGACCGCATTAGATTAATCGCGTACTATCATCCGGAGAGTTGATCATGCGAAAATCGACCGTCCTTTGCTCAAGTGAACTTAATGAAATTTTGATGGCTAATGAACCTCTGAGCTGTTTCTGAGAACCTTTGAGTAATCGAATACAAGGTATTATATATATATATATATATAGACGAAAAAGAAAACTTATGAGGCAGAGAATTCTGTTGTGTTGTCAGTTTAGGAAGGTTTTGATTTGTGCAGAAAATAAGAAATTCTCTCATAGTCTCTCTCTCTCTCTCTCTCTCTCTCTCTCTCTCGTGAAACGAAGGATCTTTCGACTCGTCTTGTTTCTTTTCTTTTTTTTCCTTCTCCTTTTTGTTCTCCGTTCTCTCCAAAAACTAGATTATATAAATTGGGTAATTATACTCGGTATAGCATTAGTCGATCATACTTGCACTGCATTGTTGAACGTTAGTTCTGTTGCGATATGTACGCTTGATTCTGCGACCGATCATGATCCCTCTTTTTAACGGTATCTTTTTATTTTCTGCGCAAACTAAACGATACTTGTTGTTGTTGCCCGTAGATATGATGGGGGGACAATACGTGGCTCGATGACTGTCGTATCCGCGGGGCGGCGACGACCTGTCCTAGGCCCCAACCCTAATCTTACTTACTAACATAAGTAAGTTCTGTCTAACAAACAATCCTACACATGCTAAAAGACTAACGATGTCCCTGATAATCATATCCTGGCCTTGGATATATTTGCGCGAAGCCTTGCTTGCTTGAAGACAATTTCCCTAATTGTTTTTTCTTTTTTTCGTTTCTTTTTTTACTTCTTCTTTCCTTGGGACACGGATTTTACATTGCTAGCCCGTGCCACCAAGAACTTGATAAAGACCATGCGATCATTCCGACTTACATGATGTCTACTGCGAGGCCGATTGTTCATTATTGTACACATAAGGCTGTCCTTTCTCGATGAACTCTATCTTAGAACGTAAGGACAATGAAATAGCGTCATGTCACCGCTGGAATATGTTTCTAATTTCTGCCGGGTCTGCTTTTGCCCGCGATCGAGAAAAATAACCGAGCGCCTTGTATGAACGCGAATGTCATGTTCGGCACAATTGTTCGCGCGATCGCAGAACATATNTATATATATATATATATATATATATACTGCATCTGTGTTGAGCGAATTTCTGTTTTTGTAGAAAAGTCACTTCATCGTCTCCTCGTTCTTTTTTTTTATTCTTTTTATGCATGCTTTAGCTGCTTGCGTCGTGCACTTTATAAGTGCCAGTGCTGTAAATGGGACATAAAAATCTTAACGTTTCTGTGAAATTGAGTCTTGTCCATCAGTATGTACATATATATATTTACTATCGTGTATATCTCTCTTCTTAAGTTTATCCCAACGTATTGCCCCAGCTGCACAAATTTTGACGTAGACATTAATTGCTGCATATATCATTGAGAAAAGAGCCCGTCGGCCACGAGATGACATAACGATAAAGGACTAAAAGAATCGCAGTCCCACATCTTCTAAAATATATCATTTGTAATGTGCATATATTACAGCGTGATCGCTCAAGTAACTCTGATTGAAACACACTCATTACACGGATAAACTCTCACAGCGGATAAAATACGTAGAATTGTCGCAGGAGCGTCGCGCGAGACACATTTCGCGAATCACTCCGCGGCGTACATAAAATATATATATATATTCATTTCTACCGGCAGCAGTAAACTCTCTCACGCACGGGCCGAGAAGAAAAAAACTAACAATCTCGATATATCAAACATACATCTATGTACGAGGCGCGTCCGCTGTTGAAAGAGTGAGATCTATCACACAACCCTCTTATTCTCGTCGTCCTTTTACCAGGAATATGCGAACGCGTGAAACGGAGGTGGTAGCGGTGGAGAGACTATTGCCTGCAAATGCAAATGCCCCTGTAGACGTTTGAGATTTGATTTGTTTCTTTCATTCCCTTAATGAGATCCGATTTGTAATTCGAGTTAGCGGTATTTTTTTTCTCGTGGATGGATTATGGCATTAATGTTGAGATCCGCCGCCGGGCCTAAGTTGACTCTATCCTCTCTTTTCCGTGTCCCAGGACTGGTAACCATGTCGGGACAGGGCAGCGGCGGCAGCAGCAGCGGCGGCAGTAGCCTGCAGATGCAAGCGTCGAGTCTACCTGGTGGCTACCAACCGATGGACTGCGAGTCCTCGCCCCGTCACTCGGGCGGTCGACGTGCCATAACAACGGGCTACCCGTCGACGTCGTCAGCCACCGGGGGGGTGCCCGCATCGTCCGCCCCGATGTCCATGCAGTCCATGGACAGCTCCCTGATACAGAGCTCTCTCGGATCGTACAATAGCCTAATTCTTCCCGGTATACCCCATTTGCCTGCGATGATGACCTCGCCGATGATTCAGCAGCAGAACTTCTACAACTACGGCTACTCGACGACCGACACGCACGGGATGGTTAGACAGCCATCGACAGTGTCGACTGGTAATCAGCGAGATCCTGAGAGAGAGGATAGCCCGATGGTTGGTGTGTGCGTCCAACAGAGTCCGGTCGCTATCCACTGAGAACGGAGGGAGCGAGGAGGAGAGGAAGAGAGAGAGGGAGGAGCAACCGACGGTGGTGACAATACTACAGCTCGCGTCGCGATCGCAGGACCGTGAAGAACAATCTCAGCCGACCGATTGATTGCGGATGGAGCAATCGTGGAGCATGCTTCGAACGTTTATCGTGGCGTCGGCGAGACGAAAATGCGAGAGAGAGGGGAGGAGTCAGGCGAGGAAAGATCATCTCGAAGTCGTTCCCCGACGCTGCTTTCTCAGCACAGAGTCAAAACGAGACGCGGTTATCGCGCGACATCGACGCGCGTCAACTTGTTGGCAGTGAATTCAACCAATCTTTCGGATACGTTGGTTTGGCCGAACAATTCTGGAAATGTACAAGGAAATTACCCGGAAAATCCCGAAATTCACCGCAAGCTGGCAGGAGAAGTCCCGGATTTCTCTCTCTCTCTGTGTGACGGCAGAAGCGAAGGAGTGCTCTAAGAAGAACAGAAGCTCGGCAGCGTTAAACGACACTACGTGTGCGAACGAGACAGGTCCAACGTGTGGAGGAGAAAGGAATCGCGAGAAAGAAGAAGAACGGGGTAGTAAGAGAGGAGCGAAAAAGTGCGAGGGAAATTTTCCGTTTTCCGTTACGTTGCTGTATTTTTGTATTTTTTATCGAGCTGACTGGCCCTACACACATTGGGCGTGAATATATACGTGTATGCACGAGGAAGATTAACGAAAAGCTTCGAGCATGGACAGACAGTAATGGTCTAGTGAGGATGAACCCAGCTGGCCTCTCGGGTCCTGCCCGATTCCACAGACTTATACTCTGCAGAACTGCGGTTTTTTTAAGCGTAAAACAGCAGCTGAGCAGAAAACTTTCGGCAACCAAACTGTGTGGCCTAGAGAGCTAAAAAGTGATAATTACTTATTATTACCGCATAAACAAATGATGGGAAAAGTAAGAATTACCATTGTAAGCATGTACTCCAATAGAGTTTTATACACGATGTCACGAATGTAAACGGTTTAGCAAGTACTTGCGAGCAAACCAGTCTCTCTCGCGTCGACTGCTAGTTATTTGTACAATACACTTAGGTGAACGATAAGAGTGCAGCTTTAGGGTTTAGCTTGTAAGTGTGAGAGGAGGTAAGAGAAAAAAAAAAGAAGAAGATAAGAACACACACACGGACATTGTAAACTCGACTCTTTTGTTTACTTTAAAGGAAAACAAAGGATGTTGCAAACGTCAGTTTGTTATTGAACAAGGACTTTAAACAAACGAGGTTTGCGCGGCTTAACAACAACACATATTTATACATAAAGAAAAAAAAGCAGTAATAAGAAAGTTAAAAAAAAGCAGCATACACGTAAGATCGATCAAGAATGGTATAATCATACGAGAAACCTAGATACTTTATAATAAACAATACACGCGTACTCGCATACAACACACGTTTCCAACGCCAATCGTCATTGATTTTTGCCGTTTGTGCTCCGATGGTCGCTGCGCTTATGCCATTCTCGCACTAACTCGTAATATATATATAGAGCTTCCCTTTCGTTTGTTATCAGCAGAAGACTTACGCAAACACAGTTTTTATTCGGCCAAACATTTTTTAATCTCGGTTAAAGTACGATTCCTTTTGATTATTTATGTCGACCGTACATCTATATACATACATATATTGTGACTAGATGACGAATAAAAGTAGAAACTTTAATTTTTTTTTCTTTTGCTTATTACCGACAGCCGCGAACTTTTTGTCATTAAGCTACCAATTGTAAGTGTAGTATAGTACCTGAAGGCAGACCATTAAAACGCAACCATAATAAAATCCTACAGAATCCAGATGTTAAAAAGGAAAAAAAAATAAAAGTTATGACTTTTAATAGAAACTAAATAATAATATACGCTGTAAAGAAAGAGAGAAATCTTAAAGATCTTAAAGAATTATGCATGTTGCTTTTCTGTAATCACGATATAGCAAAGTGCGGAAATACCAAGTCCGTTTAACGAGGTATATTTTATATTTGCGGCTTTTATAATTCCATACGAAAAAAAAATAAAATAAAAGGAAGGAAAGAACACTCCGCGGGGACCTAAGATTTAGATAATAATTTATCTTTATGATGTTTATTGTATTCTATGTGGAACAAGCGTGACATTTTGTTGACGGATCGTATCGCGATTTACTATAGTTATTTTAGGACGTTCTAGATTAATTTTATCGCCTTTTAAGGTCTCCGATGACTTTACGGTAAACGAAGCTGCATGTATAATTCCAAATGTAATCGTCATCTTTAACATTTTAATTGCGATCTTCTTTTTTTGTTTTTCTTTGTACGAAAATTTTAATGCGTAATAACGATGGTAAAGCAACATATTTCGTCTGCATGACTGCGACTGTTGTCAAAAGAGCTTGGCCAAAAAAGATATTAGACGACCAAAAGGATTCTTAACGATGTATTTTCTGGAAAAGTAACGAAAGAAAGAGAGAGAGAGAGAGAGAGAGAGAGAGAGAGAGAGAGAGAGAGAGCGAAAGGGAGAGAGCGAAAGAGGTAGAGAGAAAGAGGGAGAAAGAAAGAGAGAAAGCGAGAGCGAGAGTCTCACTGTGAAATTTAGATTTCAATTCTTGTTGTATTAGTTGTAAATATATGGGAAAATATAACATACTTTCGAGTAGCTGAGAAAAGTCTAACATGTTTCACAAGCCATTCGATCTGCTAAGAATCATTTTCTTCGTGCGGCCTTTCGAATGATTTGTATATTTTTATACACCTGAGCAACACAGAGAGATGCATTTGCAGATACGTTTTAACAAGAGGAGAGATACACACGAGACATTCTATATTGCAACTCAGAGATGTTGAGGTTTGTTATACTCGAATTTATTACTAAGTTACCGGACGAAAACAAATTTTCTAACAGTATCTAATAAAACGTAAGTCCCTGCGGGGCAAATAGGAAATACGAAGTCCACGATACCACTTGTACCATAAATGTTTTTTATATCGCATTACGAGATTTATGGCAATCGGTGCTTAAGGTACGTTAAATTTGAAGAGTCGTAATGAGTCTGTGTTGTGATTAGATAGCTCGAAAGCAATGCTTAAAAAAATAGATAGATTCACTTTGACATAAATAAAATATTAAAGAAGAGAACAACCAGCTCTCCGGAAGTCTCATCCAAAACGTAACGAGATATTACGTCGCACCTTACCTCAATGACTTTTTGATAATTTCGGCAGTTGAAGTTTGTACAGGATATGATTTGTTAGAAGTAGAGAGAGAAAGAGAGAGAGAGAGAGAGAGAGAGTGAGAGAGAGAGAGTGAGAATGAGAGAATGAGAAAGCGAGTGGGAGAGAACGAGAAAGAGTGAAAGGGAGATTAAACGGCGAGGACGCGCTGGATTTTCTGTGACAAATCTTGGCGTCTCCGCGTATATCTTGTTGAACGGCAAAAATCAGTACGCTCTATAAATATAGACAATGTGTGATACACACGAACCCTCTTCCGAATTCAAGATGTTAACGCGCTGTGCTCACTAGTCCTAAACTTGGTGTTCACGTGACATTTTCACACGCAAAACCGTCGTTCGAACTAATATACAGAACTATTTTTTATCATAAACGAAAACTCAAATCGTCATCTTCGCCCGACATTCGCTTCACACTCGCGGATAACGATTGCGCGCGACAGGATATCACTTGTAAAATAGCCCTCTCCATCGAATGGTTCGTACTGTAAAGGCGTATGAAATGTATGAAATACGGGGATAGCACTCGGATACTCTTCGGTCTTTCTCTCTGGGGAAGCCGGGGGGAGAGGAAAAAAGAAAGAAGAGAAAAAGAAACGGAGGAAAAAAGATACGCACCGATCCGACCGAATGACGGACTCCTGGGCACAGCGCGCGCTGCGTTTGGTAATGCATCGAAGTATCGTTCTTCTTATCGATGATTGTTGATTTTGACCGAATGATTATAATTGTCGTTTGATAATAGAGAGAGCGCAGAGGAGTGTGATTGATAATCGGTTATATGACGTGACTCTTAGCCGAATCTAATTCTCGCGCACCGGCCAACGAGGCAGCTGGTGGCGGTGACGAAAGGAAGGAGAAATTTAGAGACAATTTTTTCGGGACGCGAAACAAGGACGATAGCGTTGTTGTGAACCGGCATACCGTAACCGCAAGATGCGCGCCAATCACGAACACGCGATGCGTGCCGGACACATCATAGCTATGCGGATTTTCGTTTGCGCGAGGACGCGGCGAGAGATGCGTGTCAAATGTAAACGTTCAGTAGAACCTCCCATGGAAGGAAGAAAGCGAAGAAAAAAACCACACACACAGAACCCGATGATGCGCAGGACGAACTTCTAGACTACTTTCTGTTTCCTTTCTTTTTTTTTCTTCTAGGATTCTTTTTGCTTTTCTCGACATACGCGCGTTCATTTTTGTTCGAAAGTTTCACTACCTTTATCATCATTATCAACATCATCATCATCTTCATCATCATCATCATCACCACCACCACTACCACCACCACCACTACCACCACCACCACCACCACCACCACCACTATCACCACCTTCGTATGACGAATGAATTTGTCCACTCAACAGCTGTCGTAAAATGCAAAGTATTTAAGCCAATTAGCAGACAACAGAGATGTATACATTTAATAGCATAAGAACTAGCCGTGATTCATGTTCCAAATGATTTATCGTTGCATTTTCGAGTACACATGGTTTTCTTTTTCTCCTTTTTCGTTCGAGAGAAAGAGAAAGAGGGAGAGAGAGAAACGCAAATTTTACTTTAATTGTCTTTAGCTTTCCGACAATTTCAACAAATCGTTTTCACGCACTCCGTGATTTTCAATCACGCACACGCTCGTTAATTGCTACGAATCGATACGCCTATTGCAGCCACGACGAATCTTTTCTTCGTGTGTGTGTGTGTGCGTGTGTGTTTGTTTGTTGTGTGTGTGTGTGTGTGTGTGTGTGTGTGTGCGTGCGTGCGTGCGTGCGTGCGTGCGTGCGTGCGTGCGTGCGTGCGTGTGCGTGTATGTGTGTGCGCGCGCGCTTTGCATTTCCGACGACATATTTTAGCATGAAATCTCAGATCCAGCGCGAAACGCGAGTGAAGCTCTTCGTCTGCCGAAGACGTACTCGCGAGACGTGCTGACTTCATTCGCGGGATCTTTTTGGAACATGTCGCGGCGGACGTAAAGTAAACCTAAGTTTCCTAACGTCATATGTAAAAGCATTGTGTTCAGAAACAAATATACTATAATACGACTGATGCGCCTGAGAGGCGACGTGCGAGCGTCCTTTGAGAATTAAGCATGATAAAGAGTGACGATGTCTTGATGTCTCGTTCGGCGATGGCATGCACCAATCGGGACAAAAAAAATATATAGAATGAATGCTGAGAGAGAAAGAGAGAGAGAGAGAGAGCGTGAGCGAAAGAGAGTGAAAGAGAGGGAGAGAAAGAATGCGAGAGAGGGAGAGAGAGAGAGAGAGAGAGGAAGAACGAATTAACAAACAAAAAAACCGATTTATTAAGATGAAAAAAAATAATTAACAAAACTCCATACCGGATGAAGGAAAATGAACTTGTATCTAACGTGTATACATTGTCATAACATTATTATGATGATTATTATAATTATTATTATATATAATAATGTAATTGAAAATTTGAAACGATATTACATAAGGTTAATAATAAACAAAAGCATCTTCACCTTTTGTTGTTTACCTTTTTTTCCGTTGGTATTTCTCACGTCACACCCGACCCATCCGATAATCGCGAATGAAAATCGCGTGAAAGATAAAACGATTGTTTTTTTTTTAATAAACAACACGATTGCTTCGAGTACGAGTCATTACGGATTTTAAATTTTTAGATATGGAGTATTGATATCGGCCAAGCTCATGTAAAATTTAACGCTGACTCATAACCGAACATGACTGTGCTTAATTTAATTTTTAGCAAATTCATGAAGAACGTAGCACTAATTCGGAAGTGAAATTAAATATTTCTCCATATCGCCGAAGCCTAAAATAACGGAATTATATGGATATTATTTAGTATGTGTTGTTAGTTTATACTGAACAAATTAACTGCCGCTCATTTTCAGGCGTCTGATGTATTTCCTCGATAATCGAAAAGAGATTGTTGATGTAGCGTTTCCTATAAAGCGGGGTCTATAATGAAAATTTAAGGCGTAAGATTTAAGAAATTGACCAATCATAATTGATTTTTCTTCTATATATATTAACGCTATTTAGCGCTAAATGTTGTTCGCGGAACTAGAAGATAGTACTAAGAAACGCGATCGTGACATCACTGGTGGTGGTGTGCTCTACGTTATAATTTCGCACTACAAACGCTATTTCTTCCGAAGTAGTATGATGATGGCGTTATGGCTTCTGCCCACAGGACGCGGCAACGCGGCAAGAAGTGACGCGGTAGCCAATCAACGTGCCATTTTTCCACGAGAACTAAAAATTTATTGACTGCTGCGTTGCTTCTTGCCACGCGGCAAGCATTTCCGCGCCCTGTGGGTAGGAGCCATTAACGTTGGGAAACTATGTGAACGGCTAGAATTGCGTATCAATGCATATGAATATCCAGTATCAGTACATATTCGTAACTTGAACTTTTTATTTTCTCTCAATATACAATGAACAATTCTGTGGAAATGAAGTGTCGGGATGAAGAAACTGAAAACGATATAAAGTGCAACTGTCACTAACCAGTGCCTTTAGAGCACAAACCGGTAAGTTCCTGCTAAATATCATACCAGTTGAAAATTAAGTTATGGTGGTCAATCATTTTGCTTTAATTGTAATATATATATATATATATATATATATA